TGAACAGGTTAGGCTCTGGCAAATAGTTTCTCTCGAGGGTGGGACTTGTTAACAAGAACAGAATTCTCTGTCATGTTTCAGAATGGTTTCTTTTCTCTTCCCTATGCCAGAAGCATGAGGGAACTTTTCTCTGATATTCACTGTGAGGACCTGGTAGAGCTCCTGGAGGTAAAACTCACGAAAGTGTGGGGCCCCCTTGTGACTGGGTTACCCTGGAGTTTTTATTTCTTAGGCTGGTTCACACGAAGCTACCAGCAGTTCATCTCAGTTTAGGTTTTCCTACTTCCTGCATTGGTTCTTTCTGTTCCAAAATTGTGATTCTCTGTAGCTCCCTGTCTGTTTCCCTGGTTTTGGGGAGCAGCAGTTTTCCTGAGACCTCACTTTTCTGACAGATCTATGGAGAGTTGTTAATTTTTAGTTTGTTCAGCTTTTTATTTGCTATTAGGGCCAAGTGAAGATTTCTAAGCTTTTATGTGCCAGACTGCATATTTCTTCCTAAGTGTTTTACAGTCTGTATTTTCTTTTAGGTAAAATGATGGAATTGGATGAGATAGTCTGTAAAGTTCTTTCCTAGTCTACTATTTTGTGATTACATCTGTTGTGTAAACTTTTTCTGTAGAGGAAGAAGCTAAGTGTCTTCTGGAAGTGAGAGAAACTAATAGTGAAATTGAAATTATACAATTGGTATTCTGCTATAATTCAATCATGTTGCATGGAATGTCCTAGATGTATGTACATGGAAAATTAACATTAATAGTGCTGTTTATATTGGCACATATATTCCTTTTTTTTTTAAATTGTACTATAGGTTCTGGGGTACATGTGCAGATGATGCAGAATTGTTGCATAGGTACGTACACACATGGTAATGTGATTTGCTGCCTCCATCCCCCCATCACCTACATCTAGCATTTCTCCCCCTGTTATCCTTCCCTGACCTCCCCGCCCCCTGGCTCTCCCTCCCTTAGCACCCCCACAACAGACCCCAGTGTGTGATGCTCCCCTCCCTGTGTCCACATGTTCTCATTGTTCAACACCCGCCTATGAGTGAGAACATGTGGTGTTTGATTTTCTGTTCTTGGGTCAATTTGCTGAGAATGATGGTTTCCAGATTCATCCATGTCCCTACAAAGGACACAAACTCATCATTTTTTATGGCTGCATAGTATTGGATGGTGTATATGTGCCACATTTTCCTTGTCCACTCAGTCTATTATTGATGGGCATTTGGGTTGGTTCCAGGTCTTTGCTATTGTAAACAGTGCCATGATGAACATATGTGACACATATATTCTTAGTTCAGTGAATTTATAAATAGTTATATTGTCCTAAAAGTTTAATTCTGAGTTGAGAATTACCTTTTGAATTGAGAAGATAGAAATTGTAGTTCAGTATTTTAACAATAACTGCTTTTCCTCAACTTCTCTTACCAGTACTTCTTAATTTCCTTTTAGCCTTTTCTTCCTTTCCCAACCTTTATATATTAAAGAAATCTTCTCATTCTGTACGCACTCTTCAAATGCAATCTTATTTATTTACCAGGCATCAGTCATACTCTTCTGTGCCAAAGACCCCAACTTAGGTCTTTGGACCCAAATATCACTTGCCTCCTGGACATCTTTAGATGTAGCTTATGCGTCTTTGGCAGTATATAAGTGTTTTCAACCATAAACCCGAGATGGGCAAATTGAATTTCAGTGATCTGTTTGCCAAAATGGCATAAATTGTAAGTAGTGAAGTCAGGATACAAACTTGGAAGTCAGATTCTTGAGCTTTTATTAGTTTTTCCCTCAGTGAAAAAAAAAAAATCTAAGAATTTTTTTCTGTTGTGAAATAATCTCCCTCTTCCCCAAAAGTTGGAAATACGTTATGAAGAAGAATATTTTTCCCTGAACTATTTGAGAGGAATTTGCTACCTAATGTACCTGAATATTTGGAGTGTTTATTAGAGCATTCTCCTACATAACCGTGATATATCCATCAGAACTGAGAAGTTTATTTCAATATATTAACACATGTAACCTCACTACATTAATGAAACATTGATCTATTACTACCACCTAATTTTGTTCCAGTTTTGTTTTACCAGTTGTCTTTTCCCAATAATTTACTTTATAGGAAAAGCATTTATCTTAGAATTAGATGTTACATTTAATTGTTGTATCTGTGTATTCTGAAATAGTTCCTTGATCTTTCCATGAACTTGAAATTTTGAAGACTGCAGGCCACTTAATTTGTAGAATGTTTCATGACTTGAGTTTGTCTGATTTTAGATGTAGCTTATGCACATTTGGCAGAAATATCCCAGAAGAGATGCCACATTCTTCCCATTGCATCAGGTGTTGCACGATTTTCATTTGTCCCATTACTGATGATGCTCACTTTGATTGCTTAATTAAACTGTTGTGTGTTAGTGTTCTCACTGTTTTTTTCCTTTGTAATTAATAGCTCTTTTATGGGACAGAAATGTGAAATCATGAATATATTCCATTTCTCATTAGACCTTCAATTTATTCATTTATTTATATCAGTCTGAATTTATAGTTTTCTCTTTTTATTTAGTGTTTTACAGTATTTAACTACCCTTAATTATTTGTCCCAGATTTGGGCAGCCACTTCAGATTGCTTTTGTTTCCTTTTGAATGTTTCCATGATTTTTTGAGCTTTTAAAAAAATATTTTCTGGTACAGGAAGGTGTTCCAAGCTCATCTTGTGCTTGCCCTGTCTCAGCCCTGGATTGAGCCATTTCTCTAAGGAGCCCTGCTTCCTTTTAGTAAAGAATGATGTTTAGAAGTCAAGATCTAGGTGCTAGGTATGTTAGCTGATATTGTGGTGTCACTGCTCCCAGACCCTTTCAGTAGACAAAGTGAGGGAATATGTGCATATGTGTGTACACACATGCATAAATACATACACACATTTGTATATATACATATTGTCTTACCTGTGTTGTGCTGCAGTAATAGAGTACTACAGACTGGGTAATTTATAAAGAACAGACATTTATTTCTCGCAGTACTGGAGGCTGGGAATCAAGGCACTGGCATCTGGTGAGGGACTTTGTCCTGAATCTTGTTTATAGGGTATGCACATATTGGAAGGCTGAAGAGCAAGAGAGGAACTCTCTCCACCAAGCCCTTTCATAAAGGCACCTGATCTCATTTATTAGGGAGGAGCTCTCATGACCTAATCACCTGTTTAAGACCTTATCTTGTAATACCATCACATTAGCCATTAAATTTCAACATGGGAGTTTTGGAGGGGACACATTGAAATCATAGCACATATACACCATTTTGCTTATATTTATCAATATACATTGAACAGGGCCAGGCACGGTGGCTCACGCCTGTAATCCCAGCACTTTGGGAGGCCGACGCAGGTGGATCACTTGAGGCCAGGCGTTTGAGACTGGCCTGGCCGACATGGTGAAACCGTGTCTCTACGAAAAATACAAAAATTAGCCTGGCTTGGTGGCACAAGTCTGTAATCCCAGCTACTCAGGAGATGAGGCAGGAAGATCGCTTGAACCTGCGGGGTGGAGGTTGCAGTGAGCTGAAATCCACTCCAACCTGGGTGACAGAGCAAGATTCTGTCTAAAAAAAAACCAAAACAAAAACAAACAAACAAACAAAATATATATATATGATACCTAAATTGATGTTGTTCTAGATATATATTGAATTCATATTCAATATCTGAATTGATGCTGTTCTATATATAGATCTAGATTGACACTTCAGTATATATATAGTCAATCCAGATTGACACCTTCAATTCCATTCCAACACTAAAGATTTATTCTATTTTCACCTTCACCCTGTTTGTAACTCCCTTCTGTGTCAGGGAGAACATGTCATAGTTATTTTAACTTCTAAGCTCTATTGGCCTTACTATATAATGGCTACCTTTATTGAAGTGATTAATGGGTCGGAAGCTGTGCTAAATGCTTTGCTTTCATTATTTAATTTGATCTTTCAACAACTCTATAAAAGCTTTTTAGAAAAAAAGACTAAGAGAGATGGATTTAGTTTCCCTGTATGACAAGTGAAGGACAGAACTGGGATTGGACCCTTACTCTCTGTGACTCCGATATCTGTGCTCTTAATCATACTGTTTTTAGCCACTGCTACTGTAAGTGCAACTCTTTAGGATTAACTCCTAGAAGAAGGATTGCTTGTTTATAGGGTATGCACGTGTAAAATTCTGGTAGGCCCTGATACATCACCCTCGAATAGGTTATGCTAGTGTATACCTGCCAATGCTGAGAGCACTCACTTTCCTGCATTCTCCTTGACATTGGATATTATCTATTATTTTAGTTGTGTATGTTTTTTATTTTTAAAATCAATTTAAAAAACCCTGTCCCTCTTCAGTCTTCTCATACTGAAGCCTATTTGATTATGTCAGTTTTCTTCTCCAATTTTTCTTCATCATTTTCTCTTACTAGAAAACTATCCTAAAATGTTTCTGGATAGCATACAGAAAGGCAGTATGATATGGCCTCTGCTTATCTCTCCAGTCCCACCTTCTTCTGTATGTCGGTTCTCACTCTGTGATCTGGCACTCTATGCCTGTTTCAGTTTTCTCAACACATGCTTTCTCTTGCTTGCCTCTGTGTTCTTGTACATACTGTTCTTTCTGTCTATAACTTCTTTTTACCTCCCCCATTCTCTGTTCACTCTTTTCTTCTTAGCCACATCTAGCTTATTCACTTTCTAGTTTAGATTCACTGTAAAACCTATGTTAGATGCCTTTTCTATGTGGTTTGTTACCTTAAGGTTTTAAAAATGTTGCTTCAGAATTTCACTTTTATGTACAGAAAAGAAAATGCTGGTTAAGTAAGGTTACTTTGGTGAATATGTAAGAATGTAAAGGAAACCTTATTAGGTGTTAACTGAAAATCACCAAGCAAATTGAAAAATATAATCTGTTTAAAAAATCTTATAATGGTTTATGACAAACTACAATGTAGTTTTATTTTGTTTTTCTCTGTAAAGTACCTGCCATCCTGGCTGGACTTGACCCCAGGGACATTGTGGCAGTGCTGAATGAAGAGGGAGGCTACCATCAGATTGGACCAGCAGAATATTGCACTGACTCCTTCATTATGTCAGTGACCATAGCATTTGCCACCCAGTTGGAACAGGTGAGACTTTCCATGAGATTGGTGACTAATGAAGAATTTGAAAACATTACGTAAAACATTTTACCTTCCAGGTATTAGAAAGATTTACAAGTAGACCTTTTTTTTTTTTTAACTTTTGAAAAATGACTTCATAACAGTTTTCTTTTATACTAGAAAGAAAACTTTTTAATTTAGAAAAAGAATAGATTTTGATTATCTTGATTGTAAGAGAATAAATTAAATCTATCAGGATTTAGGAGAATGACCATCAGTTAACATTATTTTACATTGTACTGTGTGGCATTGTAAGGACTGACATGAAAGGATTTTTAGATTTGTGAATAATTTACTTTTTGGAGAAACTTCCAATGTAAGAAATATTTTCTTCCAGTAATACTTAATGCCTATAGTGTTTGGGGTTCTATTTTACCTTGTTTATAAACTAACAAATTAAGGTGTTGCTATCATGGATGCTAGCAGAATACACAGGTTCTGGATCAGAAACAAAGGAATTTATTACCCTCAGCACAGCAAGAATATGAATATTGGTATATTTCCTTCAGTTCCCCTTACTCCAAGTCCCATGGGGACTACACAGAGGGTCCCAGGTCGTTGCTTTGCACATTGGTGGGTTTTATCATAGCTGAGGAAACTGAATTTGAGGAACCTACTACTTTTATTATAAGCAGTAAGCAGGCCTGGTCTTTGTCCAGGAAGACACATTACCTTATGTCTCAAGTTGCTTAAACAACCCTGGGAAATGGGCTGAGTAAAACAGTGGTTCGGGCCTTGCAGTCTTGGCATACTCTGTAAGAATGTGCAGGGATGCTCAGGGCTCATGGTAGATTGCCTTCCCAACAGTGGCTCAGCCCAAGAGTAGCTGTTATTCCATTGCCTTTCTCAAGTCCACTTCCCTTTTTCTTTCCCTCCTCTGCAGTCAACTTGGTTTTACAAGTCTACTTTTCTTGACATTATGTTGTTCTATAGTAGTGGAAATAGTTAATACTTATAAAAATAGATAATATGGTTTGTTACTGTAAAATTTTTATCAGATTATTCCCGTCCCCGCTTTTTTCCCTAAGAGACAAGTCTTTGTCGCCCAGGCTGAAATGCCTTGGCATGATCATAGCTCACTGTAGCCTTGAGCTCCAAGAGTCAATTGATCCTTCTGCCTCAGGCTCCTGAGCATCTGGGATTACAGGCATGTGCCATCACACCCACCTAATTTTTCAATTTTTTAAAGAAACAGGGTTTCTCTATGCTGCTCAGGCTGGTCTCGAACTCCTAGCCTCAAATGATCCTCCTGCCTCAGCCTCGCAAGGTTCTGGGATTACAGGTGTGAGCCACCATGCTTGGCCTTATTTACTTTCTTAAAGGAACAAAATGTCCATATAATCCACATTCACAAATGAAATATGCAATTAGTGGCCACATTATTATTTGACTTGCAAGGTACATCAGGTAAAGATTTTTCTCAGGAATGTGTTTACTTTGTCACACTGAATTCATGCCCACTATATAAAGAACTTTGTGTTCTTTGAGCATTTACTCTTTCTCTCCTAGTTTGGTACTGTAATTTCCTCATTGGTACATATGTACTTTTGCCTTTGTATCAGTTTCTTTATTTTTCTTCTCTTCTTAAAGCTCTGCTTGTGGATTGTTATAGCTTAATATGCCACTCTAGTTGCAGGGAAAGCCAGGTATCTATTGTCTTTTTATTTATTAACCGCATCAGAACACTCTTGTCCACATGCCAGATCATTAGGAATGTACTGTATTTTTACTGTGTTGTTAACACATTTGCAAAGCGTTTTATTTTTTAATTTTATTTTTTTGAGATGGAGTCTCACTCTTGTCCCCCAGGCTGGAGTGCAGTGGTGCAATCTCGGCTCACTGCAGCGTCCACCTCCCCAATTCAAGGGATTCTTCTGCCTCAGCCTCCTGAATAGCTGCGATTACAGGTGCCTGCCATCATGCCTGGCTAGTTTTTGTATTTTTAGTGGAGACGGAGGTTTCACCATGTTGGCCAGGCTGGTCTTGAACTCCTGACCTCAGGTGATCCTCCCACCTTGGCATCCCAAAGTGCTGGGATGACAGGCCTGAGCCACCATTCCTGGCTGAATTTTAAATCACTGTTTTAACATTTTTATCCTCCTTAGGAAGGCATAATTGTTCCTATTTATTGATTAATTACTGTGTAATGCTCTGTATAGCAGACACTGTGCCACCACTCTGCATATTTTGTATTTAATCCTACCACAATCTTGAGTTATTTTCATTTTAGAGATGAGGAAACCAAGTCTTGGGAAGATCTTACAGCTAGTTAATGCCCCAAGTATATCTGACCATGTGATCAGTATTAATATTCTCTTTTTCCCATATAATGCTCTCTTGCCTCTTAATGAGTTTGGAAAAGATAGATTTGAGTTGGAATCTCATTCGCAGTATTTACCAGCTCCTTCAACTTAGGCAAGTTACTTAATCTTTTTGAGGCTTGATTTTATAGTTATATAGTGGTGATAGTACTATCTTTTCAGTTGTGCATGAGGAATGAGGTAATATTAGTAAGGTGCCTACCATATAATTTGTGAGAAGCTATATTTGTATGATAAAGTTTCCTGTGGATAATTGACCTATTGAGTCCGTAACTCTTAAAAAACAGTATAATACAGTTCTTGATAATACAGGTAACTTACTGGGACAAATTACTATTTCAGTTTAGTTAAAAAAAAACAACAACACAAGTTAATGTCTGGCAAACTGCTTGCTATCTCTGTAAAAAAATTAAGCCAGATAGATTCCTCAGAATGTTAAACAGAATTACCCCATGACCAGCAATACTACTCCTAGGTCTATACCCAAGAGTATTGAAAACAGGTGTTCAAATAAAAATTTGTATGTGAGTATTTATAACAATACTATTCATGGTAGCTAAAAGGTGAAAACTTTTGACTGTGAAAAGGTGAAAACAGATGCCCAGATGAATGGATAAACAAACTTTGATATATCTACACAATTAAATGCAATTTAGCTATCAAAGTACTACTACCTGTGGGTGGTTGTGGCACACACCTGTAATCCCAGCTGCTCAGGAGCCTGAGGCAAGACGATCCCTTGAGTCCCAGCAGTTCAAGAAAAAAAAAAGGAATGAAGTACTGATACTTGGAGCAGCATAAAGGAATGTTGGAAACATGCTAAGTGACGCATTGTATGGTTCCATTTATATGAAATATCCACAATAGACAAAAGTTCCTACGAGCAGATTTGTGATTTCCAGGGACTTGGGGCAGGAGAGTATGGGTGGTGGGGTGTTGCTGCTTAATAATTGTATTCTTTATGTTTGGGATGAAACTAGCTGTTTAATTTTTTCCTCTAAACTTATTCAAAGGCAGTGTGAGAAAGCAGCTAGTAATAAACAAATTTACAAAACTTTTCAGATGCAAATCAATGACTTAAGCACATGTTACTATAAAGTTTTAGCAGAATGGAGGATTAAGTTTGGAGATGGAAGACTGGCTAGTGATAATCTTGCTTCCTTCTTTTCTTAAATATGAAAGTTAAGAGTCAGAAAAAAATACAGTCTTGAAATATCAGGATAATAAAGAATTTTTAAGAGAATTTCTTTCCATAATGGAAATAACTTAGAATTAAATATACTGTGAAATATATAAGGGTCTTTATTTCTTAATATTTTTATTGCTTTGTGATTATGAAAGAAAGTGAAAGAAAATGAAAATCTTTTCTAAACTTTTCCAGAATAATCACTCTTATGGATAGTGTGTTTTTCCCCAGGTATTTTCCATTTTCACTTAACAGCTCACTGTGTGCTAGGCATTGTTGTAGCCGCGACTATATCTCTTTTAATACTACCAACAACCCTAAAACAAGTGGATACACACAGTGATTAAGTAATTTTTCTAAAGCTTTACAGTAAGTTACTGAACCAGAGTGGGGTTTGGAATCTGACTCCAGAATCTGTGATCGTAACAATTCTAAGTGCATAGGTGTATATACGTCCACATGATTAAAATGTACTCACTTAAACATGAATACATTTTACAGTGTGGGATTAAAATAACTTACATTTATTATGTGTCTGTTATTGTGCTATTGTAATCTAAGTGGTTACTACTTTTATTTTCACAAACTATATAAACTATTTGGAAATTTTTTTAAACCAGCAGTATCTTAGAGCAGGGATCCCCAACCCTCAGGCTGTGGACTGGTACAGGTTTGTGGCCTGTTAGGAACCAGGCTACATAGCAGGAGGTGAGCAGCAGGGAAGCAAGTTTTATCCCCTGAGCTCTGCCTCCTGTCAGATCAGTGGCAGCATTAGATTTTCATAGGAGCACAAAGGGATCTAGGTTGCATGCTCCTTATGAGAATCTAATGCCTAATAATCTGAGGTAGAACTGTTTCCTCCTATAACTGTTCCCCCTACACCCTCCTGTTTGTGGAAAAATTGTCTTCCATGAAACCAGTCCTTGGTACCAAAATGGTTAGGGACTGCTGTCTTAGATAACTTTCAATTAGTATGTCATTATTTAGCAGCCATGGTGTATGATAATAATATTTAAGCCATCCCCTATTGATGAACACATTAAATGTTTATAGCTTATTGTTTAACAATATGCTAGTGAACTATTAGGGGTCTGTTAGAAGATATTTTATGTTTTGTAGGAGAGGAATCCCATCTCTTAGTCATATGTAGCCATGAAACTACCACCTCTGAAAAGTAATGCTGATAGTACAAAAGGCTTTTTTTGGTGTTAATTCGTAGGCCTCTAAATTTTGACAGAATAGCCAAAAGCTTTATCGGAGACTTTAACTAAGATGTTATATATTAAATAGCCTACATTAAATTTTTTTAAACCTTTTCTCATTTATAACATAGAACCTCTGATGGCTGAGTAAGGATAAGATGAAATAAAATATGTGAAAATAAGGAAAGCTCGGTTTGAAATACTTAACCTCTTTCTTCTAGTTAGAACTTTCACATATTCTTTCATGGACCAGTTGAATGCAATGAAACTTTAAAACAGCATAAATCTATAAAGTCTTTTAGACTCTGCTTTTCTAAGACAACCCTTTAAAAAATTAAATTAGTAATTTAATAGTAATTTGGCAGAAATTTAGACATTTGAGGGACTAATTTTAAGACATCAAATAAATCAACATTTTAGCAAATATTTTGGGAGTGCAATAGATGCACAAGCATGTTTAGTGGTTTAGAAAGTAATACTGTTTTCTTTTTCCTGAAATGTTTAGTTAATTCCATGTACCATGAAACTTCCAGAAAGACAGCCTGAGTTTTTTTTTTACTACTCTTTACTGGGAAATGATGTTACAAATGAACCCTTCGATGATTTGATCAACCCTAACTTTGAGCCAGAGAGGGCATCGGTTCGCATCCGTAGCAGTGTAGAAGTTCTTCGTGTTTACCTGGCTCTTCAGTCTAAACTACAGGTAAGTACTGCAGCAAACGTTTTTAACTGGAGGTGGTCTTTTAAGCGTTAATTTAGTACCTAAACTAAACTAGAGTTTAGTACCTAAACTTAATTCTGTTTCAGTAGTAGGGGTTATCTTTCTGCCACATCTTCTAATTTTTTTAGGTACTACCCTGAGTCATGAAGTCATTGGCATTACAGTTACTTCAGAATTTTATGAGGTAACACCTCTCATCCCAGTAATTGAGAAAAGAGGTATATCAGTTATCAGTCCTTTGCAATAAAAAATTATTCCTGGACCCTAGAGCTGTGGGCATAGGCAAGGTTTTATTACTGTTAGTGGAGATATTAGGTGTAGGCACACACATCATAGTCTCAATTACAAAATATATATGCCTTACTGTTTTTAAAAGCAACAAGGTAAGACAGCTTTCTAAAGTCTGCCCTTGAGTTGAGTATTTTTTTATGAACTCTTTTTAAATTGGACTCCATTTAAAAGCAAACAGTGGCTGAGCATGGTAGCTCATTCCTATAATCCCAGCACTTTGAGAGGCCAAAATGGGAGGATCACTTGAGGCCAAGAGTTCAAGACTGGCCTGGGTAACATAACAAGACCATGTCTCTACAAAAAAGAAAATATTTAGATAATGGTGGTGTGTGCCTGTAATCTTAGCTACTCGGGAGGCTGAGGTGGAAGGATAACTTGAGTCCAGGAGTTGGAGGCTGCCGTCAGCTATGATCACCCTACTGTATTCCAGCCAAGGCAGCAGGGCAAGACTCTGTCTCATAAAAAAGATAAGTTAACCTTACCTACTAAATCTTACTCTTCTTTTTCGACACTTCCTTTTGATAAAACAGAAATAGGGTGGTAGTATATAGGGTTAGATATTCATTTGTTTAAAATAAAGTAATGGACAAGAGGTGAGAAGAAACATTAGGAAATTTTAGTAGAAATAAATTTCAGAGATGGTTCTCCTAAACCCAAGATATTTAGAGAACTGAAGTCTGTGTAAAATGACGACAGGCAGAAAAAAGCAGTTTGAATTTTATTTTGTATCTAACATATCAGTCCTTACCAAAAGTGTTGATTTATTTATTAGTTTCTAATGAAGGACACTTACATGATAAAAGTACTTTTTCTCCAGCCCATAGAAATTACACCTTAATATATTACACCTTAATATATTACACCTTAATATAATAATTTTGAGACTAAGTTACAGGTCTCTTTTTTTTTTTTAGATGGAGTCTATCTCTGACATCCAAGCTGGAGTGCAGTGGTGTGATCTCGGCTCACTGCAACCTCCGCCTCCTGGGTTTAAGCGATTCTGTTGCCTCAGCCTCCCAAGTAACTGGGACTACAGGCACATGCCACAACGCCCAGCTAATTTTTTTTGTACTTTTAGTCGAGACGGGGTTTTACCATGTTAGCCAGGATGGTCTCGGATCTCCTGACCTCGTGATCTGCCTGCTTCGGCCTCCCAAAGAGTTGGATTACTGGCATAAGCCACTGTGGCCAGCTGTCTCTTAACTCTTTCACTAATGATATTAGAGCTAAATATATTTTATAGCATGATTGTGTATTTATTATTTATTAAAATGCAAAGTTTGCTAAGGCTTCAATATAGTGAGCCAAAATAAGTTATATAACATTTATCTAGAACAGTTTTTTTTTTTTTGTACTTGTCAAAAGGTGGTAATATTGAACTTTTAATTAGCTATCAGTGATTAACAGTATATTCCACTCCAGAGATATTCCTTTACTTACTGTTAAGCACTCTTTTTAATATGAGGTCTGAAAAGCAAGAAAAGAGAAATAAATACTCAAGGTATCTTATGGATGAATAAAAACTATTTGAGGTTTTTAAATTCCAAGTCAGGATTGATCCACTGACTTGTTTTTTAAAACTATGTTTAAATTAATGATAAAATGGAAATAGAAAAATGTTGAGGTATTTGTTTTTTGTTTAAATTCATGCATTAGTTATTTCGTTATACATTTTCCATAGTGAAATATTAAAGTAGCTCACCAAAGAGACAGAAAAAGCAATAACATATGATTATGTAATACTGAAAGAAGAAATGAAAAAGGTAATAGCTATTATTGAGTTTTTAGTAAAATTTGTGTTTTATCACCAGTTTTAACTGTTATGTGTGAGAATTCCTTACTTAGTCACTTCAGGTCAATGAGGTATAATCTGCATTATATTTTCTTTCTGTGAATCATTTTATAACTTCTTATTAAGTTTATGATATTTAGGAGAAAGGAGAAAATATAAAGCCCTGTTTTGATTTTCCCTTTCATAATAGATTCATCTCTGCTGTGGAGACCAGTCACTTGGCAGTACAGAAATACCTTTAACTGGATTACTAAAAAAAGGCAGTACAGAAATCAACCAGCGCCCAGTCACAGTCGAGGGTGCTTTTACCCTTGACCCTCCAAACAGAGCCAAACAGAAGCTTGCGCCTATTCCTGTGGAGCTAGCCCCAACTGTCGGAGTGTCTGTGGCTCTGCAGAGAGAAGGCATAGACTCCCAGGCAAGTAGTGGCCCTCCTTCCATTCCCCCAGCTCCACTAGTCCCACTCATGATTACTTAAAAAAGTTGAACCTCAGAAGAATTACCTTCATAAGGATATATTTATTACTCTTAATTTGTGGCCTGTGCTATATGATAACCTCCTTTCTGAAAAGTGTTCTAACTTCTGTTGTAGTTTGTAAGTGATCCTACCCAGAGCCCTCTTAGCCTTTGGGACAGTCTTCTTGTGCAGTGGAAACCCACTCATGGTCTCCCTCACCACCAACTCAGTTAATGACTAAGGCAGAGGAGGAACGCCAGTAAAAGAGAACATTTTTAGACCTGGGAATCTGCATTGCTGTCATCTTTTTGGTTAACGCAACCTGAGCTAAAATAAAATCCTTGGTTCCTTAGTGCTTTTTAGTCCTCATACTGTCTTTAGTCAGTTTTCATAACACAGATGAGCATTTATTTGACTATGTATTTTTTTTTATTGTGTCTTTTCCCAGAATCGACTTTATGTTGTTCTTTCAAAAAGCTGATCTTTATGCAGGTTGTGAATTAAAGATACAAACACTGAGTGTTTAAAAGATATATATACATATATTTTTAGTGGGGAGTGGAATAAAGGACAGAAAGAAAGTCATGTTAGACATCTTTTTTCTTTTCAGGAATGTAGTTCTCCATTGTACTGCCTTAGTAGGAATAACCATTCCCGGGGACACCTATTCCTGACTTCTTTTCCCAAATATCCCTTCTTACTCATTAGGATGCATTTTGGTATTCAGCTCTGGATATCATATTTCCTCTGTTCATCTTCCTTTTTCTGGTCCTAGATACTATAAGGAAATTTGCAAATTATGAAGAAAAATAGACTAGGAATATCCAAACTGGGAAAGGAAGCTTATGTTTTTAAAAACAACGCCAAGTTTTTTTTGCTTAATTGTGAAGGAAAGTTCTTTGCAAATTATCTTTTATTTAAAAATTGTTTTTAGTCTTTAATTGAATTAAAGACCCAGAATGAACATGAGCCAGAACATTCAAAGAAGAAAGTTTTAACCCCTGTAAAGGAGAAGACACTTACTGGGCCAAAATCACCAAGAGTGTCCCCTGTTCCATCTCACAACCAGTCACCTCCAACAAAAGATGATGCAACAGAAAGTGAAGTGGAAAGTTTACAGTATGATAAGGACACCAAACCAAATCCAAAAGGTAAGGTCTTTTGTTGGTTTGTTTACAGATCTTTGAGGTATTACATTTTGCAACCATCTAAAAAATGACTATGACAACTTTCATGAGATATAAGTAAAAATTGTGGATTTGTTAAGAACCAGTAGTGTATAGAATATAAAAAATTTCAATGCAAAGTCATTGCAATCTATCTAACTTCAAAATAGAATTCACTAAATTAAGGTAAGAGAATTTTTTATTTTACTTGTACACTGGAAATGTCCCTACTGAATAGACATTGAAGAATATAGTTACTGCGAATAGATTTTTCAAATGATTAAATTCTTAAATAGCTTGAATTTTGGAGAAAACAGTTATTAACTGCCTCTTATAGTAAACTCATAATAGCCATTTTTGATCCTAAAGTTAAGGGAGAGCCAGAGAATTTGTGTTTATCTGATTTAATAAGATTTTTCCATCTATTGCTGCTATAGTGTAAGTAGTAGTGGATTAGGAGTTAGACATCTTTGGTGTAAATTAAATCTCTGTCACTGAGTAGCTGTGTGACTTAGACCACTCACTAAGTATCTCTCAATCTATGATAGGGTTGGCCGTCTGTTTAAGTTTTAGCTTTCTATTAGGCTATTTTAAATATGCCTAAAATAGCCAAAACTACTTTAAAAAGATGATGTCGTTATATCTCAGTAAGCCTCATATACAACCCTTCAAATGCTAAGTTATGTGCCTTTTGGAAATAAGTTAGTGCCTACTAGGCTACTATCATATATATTTCTCTTTTGGTTCTGTGCGTTTTCTATATGTATTGAGAGTAAGCTCTTTTTTCATGCAATTCTAGAATGGAAATTGAAACCTGGGTTATTTTGTGCAAGTTACTTTTAAGATACTTATACCTCAATTCATATGTTCATGACACAAAATAGCCCAATTTCTGCTTAAAGGTGAATGAGATTATAGCCTTAAATTATTTGTACAATTTAAGAGAAACTTTTAGCAAGTATGATTTTTTTTTTTTATGTTCATTTTAGCTGGTTCTTCTATACCTGTGTCACTGGCCCAGCCAGTAACTACATCCCATGCTTCAGAAGTAGCTTCAGGACAGAAGATTGCTGTTCCAGCAACATCACATCATTTTTGCTTTTCAATAGACTTAAGGAGTATACTTGCCTTGGAGATTGGTTTTCCAATCAACTGTATATTAAGGTGTGATTTGATTTTGTTTCAAAGTATTATTTTCTGAAGAGAAAGGACTTTCCTCTGTTTGGGGAATTGCAGAGAAAGAAATGTCACCAAAGAAGTTATAACATTTGTTAAATCAGTGGACTCAAAGGGGGTAAGGCTATATCCTAATGACTTTGAATTCAAACCAGGGTGGCATTGGTAGTATAAGAGGTAACTGTCTTATCTATTCTAGTATAATAATTGTAGGCATTTATGATAATTTATTCTAAGTAATGTAACACCTATTATATGTATTATGATAAATATATGTTATATGCCATTTAAAGTACAGTGTCTCTTAAACTTTAAAAGTGCTTTTTTTCTGGAAAAAGGTGTTACCGGTCAAAATAATGGTAGTACATTATCTAATTTTTCTGTAAAACTGTATTATAATGGGAGCTTATATTCCCAACATCCACATTTCATAGATATGAATTAAAAACCATACTTAGGCTGGGTGTGGTGGCTCACGCCTGTAATCCCAGCACTTTGGGAGGCCAAGGCAGGTGGATCACGAGGTCAAGAGATCGAGACCATCCTGGTCAACATGGTGAAACCCTGCCTCTACTAAAAATACAAAAAATTAGCTGGGCATGGTGGCGCGTGCCTGTAATCCCAGCTACTCAGGAGGCTGAGGCAGGAGAATTGCCTGAACCCAGGAGGCAGAGGTTGTGGTGAGCCGAGATTGCGCCATTGCACTCCAGCCTGGGTAACAAGAGCGAAACTCTGTCTCAAAAAAAAAAAAAAACCATACTTAATCAGCTGTAGGTGGAATGTGTCTACACTGTTCTAGATAAAGAATTTTAAATATTTCATATATATATGTCAGTTAAGTAGTTTTACACAATAATTTGTTTTTAATGATGTTACATTTTTATAGACTTTTATGCTTGAGATATAAATTAAATATAATACAATAATGTGTTTAGTTTGGAGTAGTTAGCAACTCCTCACAAATGCAAAAGTTGAGGAAATAAATAGTTACAGTCCACTTAATACTCTTCATGGAATCCACTTAATAAGGACTAATAGTTCTGTCTTTGAATCATTTTAAGGCCCTTTAAAAATGCTGGCCATTTAACTTTTTCTGTTTGATAAATTTTATGATAAATTTTCATACCATGTTCTGTATTGGTATGAAATTGTAGTTTGCAACTGTGTCATGGAATTTGTTTGGTAACACTGGTATTTGAAGTCTCTCATCTGCAAGACTTCCTTTAATATTTTTTTTTTCTTTTAATCACTAAATCCTGTAGTGTGGTGTTAAAGTGTAGGGAGTTGAAACTCTAGGGCATTTAACTTTCTCTGAGATAAATTGATTTAAATGGATAGTAATTATATAGAAATTGGATGAATACATAGGATTCTTCTTGTTGGAAAGCAGTTTTTTATTAGTAATTTTTAAATTTTAGTTCTCATATATGAATAACAAGATACAGGATTAAATTTAAATGAGTATTGTAATATCTTTATATTTGGCTTTAAATACAAGGTAAGTTTATCAGTAGTCAGGCATTCTTCCATTTAATCTAGCATGACTTTGTGATGAAAGGGAGAAACAGTGTTATGTCACTCTCTGATTCATCCATAATATATTTGAATTGCTTGCATTTTTGCAAGATTACCATGATTACCAGATTACCATAAGTGTGTCCTTTTGTAGTTAACTAAGGGTTTTTTATCCCATAAAAAATCAGGATACTATTGTATAAAAGAAACTAGGTTTACAAATAAATTTAAGAAGCATTTCTTGAATATTTATATATGGCAGAAACTGCCTATTTTTCCCTAGGAGTACAGAGATGAAAAAGATAGGACATGTGCCCTCAAGGAACTTTTCACACAGATGGCAGATCATATTTCTACCATGTTTTTATTAAAAAGTTATATTTTCTTGTAATATTCATATTATACTTTTTTTCTAAAAAACAGACTAAATCTCACCTGTAAACCATAAAACTTTTTTTTTTTTTTTTTTATTCTAGGTACTCATATCCATTCTTTGGAAGTGCAGCTCCTATTATGACTAATCCTCCTGTAGAAGTTCGGAAAAACATGGAAGTGTTTCTTCCCCAATCTTACTGTGCATTTGATTTTGCAACTATGCCTCATCAGCTTCAAGATACCTTCTTAAGGTAATGTATACTGTGTATGTATGATATTAATTATTTTAAGTCAATTCTTCAAAATTTGTATTTTATTAAAAAGGAATTCCTATAGAAGAATGCATAAACTCAAAACGCATTTGTGCATCTGCTACAGGATTTTTCATGGTTTATTTTAAAGACACTTTTTAGATTTTCCTCTCTTATTTACCCGAATTTAGTTACTTTAACTTTGTGAAAACAAACTATATGTAATGAAGGACCTTTGAAAAGTGGTCTTGCCTTTTCCTAATGTAATATGGGAAAATAAATTAAGAACTAAATAGTTTTTATTGTTGATTCACTAAATGAAAAATTTGCTTTTTCTATTTTTTAAAATCTATAACTAGAATTGTTAATCTGTCTATCTGAAACGGATTAAGAAATCTGAGCCCTGCGAAACGTCTTTTAGTTTCTCAGCATATCTCAATTCACATTTATACATTATTTTAAAAAGAATAAAGGGTAACTTTAAACATTCGTGGGAATCATAATATTTGAAAGTTTTTATTAAATGGAAAGTGGTATGAAAAATATAATAGTAGACCTTCCATGGTGGCTTCCACCTGTAATCCCAGCACTTTGGGAGGCCAAGGTGGGCAGATTGCTTTGAGCCCAGGAATTTGAGACTAACCTGGGTAAAATGGCAAAACCCTGTCTCTACAGAAAGTACAAAAGTTAGCCAGCATGGTGGTATGCACCTGCAGTCCCAGCTACTTGGGGGGCTGAAGTGGAAGGATCACTTGAGCCCAGGATGTTGAGGCTGTAGTGAGCTGTGATTGTGCCACTGCACTGCGGCCTGAGTGACAGAGTGAGAACCTGTCTCAAAAAAAAAAAGTATAGTCATGCATTACTTAAAGACAGGGATACATTATGAGAAATGCATTATTAGATGATTTCATCATTGTGTGAACATCATAGAATGTACTTAGACAAATTAGATGGTATAGCCTACTGTGCACCTAAGCTAGATGGTATAGCCTATTGTTTCTAGACTGCGAACCTGCACAGTATGTGACTGTACTGAATACTGTAGGCATTTGGAACACACAGGTAAGTATTTGGGTATCTAAACAGAAAAGATGCAGTAAAAATATGATATAATCTTATGGGACCACCATTGTATATAAGGTTCGTCATTGATGGAAACATCATTTCATATTTGCTGCCTATGAAATTTAGTGTTCAGTCTAACAATTGTGTTAGATGACATTCCAGGTAACAAAAAACACCTTTGACTCCATTAAGGGAATTCAAAGAATTTAGTTCAGAAAAGACTTTAGGTCAGAGTTGATAATGATGAACACATGTTTCTCTCTTCCTTAGGATTCCATTACTGGTTGAACTATGGCACAAGGACAAAATGAGTAAAGATTTACTTCTGGGAATTGCGAGAATCCAGCTGTCTAACATCTTGTCTTCAGAAAAAACTCGTTTTTTAGGTTCTAATGGTGAACAGTGTTGGCGTCAAACTTACAGTGAAAGTGTGCCTGTTACAGCAGCACAAGGGTAATACATTTCACAGAATTGGTCTTTGCTTTTCTTTTTAATTCATGGAATTCTGAGTAGCCAGCCACCACTTCTTAACCTCTTTTTTCCGATCTTCTCTGACGTGTGGCAGCTATACCCCACTTTGCTCTTTAGTTTTCTGATAGCCGTTTCACCTCACAAAAGTCAAGAATCTGTGCTACTATCATATTGTAATATTCAGATGGCTAATTATTTTCCCTCTTTTCTCTAGCCTGAGAATTTTAAATGTAGGATCTATTTTTTTATTTTGTAATTTGAGGTTAAACTTACAATGTATTTTATATTATTTTGCATTGGGAAGGGCTGAGACTGTTTTTCCACTTAAAATATTTTACTCCTGCCTTAAATCAAAAGTCTGAAGATGTTATAGATATTTGACAGTCAGAGGCAGTGTAAAAATAATTATAGTTTTTTATGCGCTGAACTTCATTGCCACAAAGAAAAACTTGAGTTTTTTAATGTATTTTATATACAGTAAAATATTTGTTGAATAATTTTTAAAATTAACAATAAAAAATTTAAAATTTAACATATATTATATACTCTTTATATGAAAGATAAGACTAAAAGAAATAAGGCTCAGTAAAATTTTAGATCTAAAAGTATTATTGAATCGTCTTCCTTATTCCTCCCCATTCATACCCATTTTGTTTCAACTATTATTTAAGAATCTCCCTTAAAGATTAGCATTTTTTTGGTCATAAGTAGAAGATAATCACATTACTAATAATTGAAGCTATTTTAATGCTGCCTGTTTGTTATGAATATTAACTTTGATTACCATACTTCGTAGACAGAAAGTTTTAGGAGATTTACTGAAGTGAGAACTTCAGATACACTCAGGAGTTTCTGTCGGATATAGTAATGCTTCATTTAACTTTATTCCTTTCTTCTGAACTCTGAGATAGAAGAAGAAAATGTAAAAGTTGATTAATAAAGAGTTCTAATTGTTTGACATCATTCATTCAAATTTTGTTTGACCAGAGTATATTTGATTTAGACAAAATCATGTTTTTTAATTTTATTTTTATTTTCTTCTAATATTTTCTCTCGTTTTTCATTTGGTTAGTGACAAAGGCTACATGCAGTTCTGTGATACAAAGAGGTGCTCATTATGATCCAGCTAACATAATTATCCTAGAAGTATTGCATATATGCCAATTATACCTAGAAGTGTTGCTTATATCTGTTAAAATATTTATGAGTATGTACATCCAAGGAAAAGTAGAAAAAAGAATTCAGAATAACCAATATAATCAAGAGTAGGGGAATTATTGAGTATATTTTGCTACATAAATTCATTTGTATATTTTACAGGGAGTAAAACAAAAAAAATCACAATTTTAAATTAATGTTATGAGAAAATGCCCCTGATGTAAATAGTAAAACGATGAAACTGTATGATGTCAACATGCATGTTTGCATGTATATCTACATATAAATAAAACAGGAAGGAAATAAACTACATATTAGCAGTAATTACCTGTAGGCAGTAAGAATTTAAATTTCACCTTTATGCCTTTTACAGCTCTTATAGGAGTCATTTTGTAGTAAATGTATGCATGTATTTATCAGGGTGTTTGTGATGGTCAAATTATGTATATGGAAGCCTACAGAAGCTGCTGCACTTTCAAAAAGAATACTGTTAGGTGCAGAAAATCTTACTCCCCAATGCTAAAGCACTGGGGAAGTAAAAGAAAAAATAATATGAAACTATTTTCATGAATTTTAAGGTATTTCTTATTTTATTTGTAGATCAAATAACAGGATAGCAGATCTTTCTTACACAGTGACTCTAGAAGATTATGGATTGGTAAAAATGCGTGAGATTTTTGTCTCTGATTCATCTCAGGTAAATATAATTGAATGTTATCAAATTATTTTTTAAAAGGAATCTAATGTGCCTATGTGTGTGAGTGTTTAAATGTGCTTTTTGGTTCATATCTTAGGGTGTATCTGCTGTACAACAAAAGCCATCTTCTCTTCCTCCAGCACCTTGTCCTTCAGAGATCCAGACAGAGCCTCGTGAAACCTTAGAATACAAAGCAGCACTTGAGCTAGAAATGTGGAAGGAGATGCAAGAGGATATTTTTGAAAATCAGGTTACTTTTTAAATGTTACTTTAAAAAATCTGTTTTGTCTACTCAGTATATTTTTTCTTCTCCATAGCAAGGTTTAATCTCTATGTTCTGTAGGTACCCTATCTAAAATAAAAAGAATCAAAAAATACCTGAAATGTGGCAACTTGCTAGAAGCCACTCAGAATTCTGTAAACTTTGTTCATGATTATTAGGAATGAAAGTTACTCTTTAAATTGCATGTCCTCAGTTGGCATACCCTCCTGGAACCTTGTATCATTAGTCTCCAAACAAGTTAGAAAGCACAGCCCACTGTTAGCTTTATACTTTCTTGAAGTGTGCTCAAATGGGTATTATTTACTTCAGGCATCCACTTTTTTTTTTTTTTTTTTTAATAAATAAAGAATGCCTGGAGAAAATATTAGTGATCAGCATTGGTTCTTTAACTGACAATAACTGATTATTTATTAATATTTGGGGTTTTTTGGTGACTTTATTTTTCTTTCTTTTGTAGCTGAAACAGAAAGAACTGGCTCATATGCAAGCTCTTGCAGAGGAATGGAAGAAACGAGACCGAGAAAGAGAATCACTAGTAAAGAAAAAGGTAACAACTTGTGTAAAAGTGAAGAAGAAAAGGAAGAACGCTAATGATAATATCTTGTATTCGCGTTAAGGACAGTCTTTGGAAGGAATAACTAATTTTAGTGGTTATATATTGGCATGGAAGAAGTGAATGATGATTCTGGGTAGAAGTGAGGCTTTTCACTGTAAAGTATTTTGTGCTTTTGAAATATGCAAATATATTACTTATTCAAAAATAGACCAGGTATTGTGGCTCACACCTGTAATCCTAGCACTTTGGGAGGCTGAGGGAGGATCGCTTGAGGCCAGGAGTTTGAGACCAGCCTGAACAAAATAGTGAGACCCTCATTTCTTTAAAAAAAAAATTGTGTGTGTGTGTGTGTGTGTGTGTGTGTGTGAATAAACAAATATGAATAGAGAAAAACCCTGCTGATGTATAAAAAAGAAAATGGCACATTTCAATATGTATATAAACTACATAGTATAATCTGTAAGTTAAAGTGCCTCAAACATTTAAGCTATTTTTAAGAATTATGAAATAAATCACATTTTAAAAAATGACAACATGAGACCATCTGGTCTTATTCTTGAAAATAAAAGCTTAATATTTATCAATTTACACTCAAGTTATTAAATAAAACAACCCTAACAATTAGACTTTCTTCAAATATTCTATTAATAATTTTAGGGCTTTAGAAATACTCTTATTAGAGTGGCTAATCAGTACTCAGCTTCAGATTTCAGGGGATGGCTCGGCAGGTCTCCGGTTCTCCTCCTCTTTGTAACCCCCTCCTCTTGTCAACGCTAGTTGCCTCAGCCTCTCTAGTCTCCATTCCGTTTTCTGAGCTCAGCAAGATTGCAAGTGTCTGTTGGGTTCTCCTTCCTTGAGCCACAGTCTTCAGGCAGTAAGCTAGATGTACGGTAGGGGTTGGCTCATTTATTTCCCACCTTTAGGGATCATTGTCCCATGCTGTCTGTTGCCCAATGTCTGAAAACAGTTGTTTCACATATGTTGTTTATTTTGTGTTTATAGAGGAGAGCTATTTGTCTTTTATGGGTGGAAGCAGAAGTACTTAGGCCTTTGATTTTAAAATAACTGTATCGGCTTTTTCTAACTTAATTCTCAGTATTAAAAACTTGAATAACCAGTGAACTTTTTAAAAAGCTGAAAGTCAAAAATCACAAGAGTACGTCAAAGTCTCTATTCTTAAGGAAAGTTTAGATAACCAAAATTACAGTAAGTAGAAGTCCTAACATACATTTTAACATTATTCTAGTTGTACTGTTATTTAACAGTGAGTTTTATATTAAGTAATATTTACAGGCCTCTCCTATTAGATATTCATTGAATCTGGGGGAGCTGGAAAATATTTTAATTAAAAAATTTTTTGACCTAGCCTTTAGGACAAGATGAGTTTATCCTTGAACCATTTTTCTGCAGTGCTGTTGAAGAGTATTTTAGTGTTGAGGTCTGCAAAATTCAAATCAGGAAATAATTGAAAAGTTAATAAAATTACTAAAACCATGACAAATTCAATTTGTGTCATAATTAAACTTTCTGTGAAAACTCACTAAGTAATTTTTGGTTTATTGTCATTTTGGTAATAATGATCTTTTCAGTTGAAATTTTTAATTGATTTGCATTTATACAACTTCGACTCTTTCAGCCTGAAATGATGAGCTCCTGGCTAGTTAATAACTCCAGTCAGAAAACAGTATGATGTCTACTTAATAAGTGATTGTGCTGTTTATTCGAATTAGTCATATCGTAAAGGTAGATTTGAGATTGAGATTTGCCATTTTCTTTCAACCTGAGTGCATTCGGAGACCAAATACTTTAATTCATTTGTCTTACAGTATCCTACCTTGCATGGGATCAGTTTTTCTTTTAAATTTTATCAGCCACTATGAAATCAAGTCAGTAGTGGGGAAAAAAAAAACAGTTGTTTTTCAGTATGAAATCTTTTAAAGCTAAATACTGAGATTCTCACTGGAGTATTTTTTAAATGTCAATTACATGTAAGCCTTTTCTGTTTAATTTTATTTACCTGATTTTTAAAAAAACAATGTATAACTTCTTTCATACTTTGAAAATTTACCTGAAAGAGTAAATACATATGTAGTTTCTGTTCTGCCATCTGGAGCAAATGAGATCTACTTTGTCTTACATATGACTGTCTGTCAGATAGCTGAAGACAACAGTCATTACCCACAAAGAAGGAAGACATCAGTTCTACATAAGGGAGCACGAGGAAGTGTTCTGTAGATAAGATCGTGCTTTCACTTTAGTGAGGATTAGTGGATATTGCCAGATAGACTCAAAGGGTATTCCAGACAGAGAGAGCCCCTTGAGCAAAAGGCAGAGAAGTTTGAAATAGACTCTGCATTAAGAAAATTATATGTAGTTTGATTTTGGAGGAGGGGAAGAAAGAATGTGCCTCAAGAAATAAGGTAAGAGAGGTTGATACCCTGGAGTATAAATGATCTTGTAATCCATTATGTAGAGTTTAGACTAGATACCGTAGGCTTTTTTTAGCCAGGCCTTCCTGAGAGAATGAAGCCCTGAATTCTTTAAGGGATCCATTGTTGGTAATAAAAAATGGTGACTATGTACCATTTTAGGAGAAGATGGAGAAAATACTTCAATCATCTGTTTTTTTGGTTCAGATGATAAACCCTGGTTGAGAAAGGTAGAAATATGAGAAACTTTTTAAATGAAGATTTTTATATAAAATAAGATAATTAGGTTTTCATTCTATAACAATAATTCTGTTGGAAGTATAGTGGATAGAATAGAGGATTGTGAAACTAAAGTCCAGGAGACTAGGGAAACAATATGTATAAAAGAAAGTGAAAGCCAAAAAGTAATAGTAGTGAAAAGTTATGGAGAAAAGATGAGTGTTAAAAAGATGATTTTAAGGAGGTGTAGGACCTCAGGTGCTGAGACGTCTTCATGGCTGCTCACAATCCTACTTCTTTCCCTAGTCAATTCATTTTCTCACTCACCAGAACAGTTTTTCTCTTAACAAACAATCCTTCCTCATCCTTACCCAGTTTATCTCTGTCTTTGAAACACGTCCTCTACTTGGCTTCTTTGACTATACTTTTTTTTTGGACTACACTTCTCTACTGTTGTATTCTGCTATCTTCACTGGTCTCTCTTTCCCAGTTTTCATGCTAGATCCTCCCCATGTTGGCTTTATTGGTTTGTCCCAGAGCCCAGTCCTCAAATATCATCTTTTCTTCTCTCTGTATACTCACTCCTTTGATGATTTTATTCACTTTGTTGGCATTGTATACAGCAAGACACCCACCACACACACCCCTATCACTGACTTCTTCACTGGACTCTGCACTTGGCTATTTAGTTACTTACACTACATATGCATCTCAAATTTAACACTCTTTTGTCTCTATTTGCTGTAAATTTAGATAAAGTCTAACATATTAGAGGATGTGACGATCATAATATATGAATGGCAGTTAAAATTTGTGTTTATCTTGGAGAAGAAAAAAGATGGAGGAGGAAATATGGCCCTCGCCTGTCTCAAATTTGTGAAAGTACATTTTTTTCTTTGAATTGGCAGATGTAATTTGTGACTTTCCTATTCTCAAGTCCTCTCAGTAAAATTGTACATATTTTAACGATTTTAGGTGGCTGAATATACTGTTTTAGAAGGAAAACTTCAAAAAACTCTAATTGACTTGGAGAAACGAGAGCAGCAGCTTGCTAGTGCAGAATCAGAGGTATTTCATCTATCATATATCTTTATTTCAGAGTCTATATATGAAATTCATACTTTTATTTGTGCTCTATTTCATGATATGCAGAAAACTGCTATTCAAACTGCTGTTCAGCATACCTTATATATTAGAATAGGTTTAATAGTATGCTAGAGTGTTTAAAGTTAATGCAGTACAGATTTGTTCCTAATACTGAGGTGCCATTCTATGTGATTAGGCAAGAATCAGAAGTTTCTAAAATAAGAAAAGAAACTTGGGCATATTTGCCTTCACAATGAAAAATGTTTTATTCAAATGGAAATGTTAAGTGGTTAGAGTTTTCAACTGAATTTATACAAATTGTTCATGGATTTTTATATATGTTTATAATAATGATTGAAAATTTTTAATATGATACACTTGAACATCAACTCTCTAATAACTAAAAAGGATGTGAAAATAAATTTGTAAATATTCTGGACATTTGAGTGTATAGAAAGACATTAGAATACTGAATAGTATAGTGCAGCTAGTAATAAGCCAACCTCTTAAAGATACCTTTGTTTTAAGCTTCAAAGGGAAAAAAAGGAACTGCAATCAGAACGTCAGCGGAACCTACAAGAACTGCAAGACTCTATCCGTAGGGCCAAAGAGGACTGTATTCACCAAGTAGAACTAGAAAGGTTAAAAATCAAACAGCTCGAAGAGGATAAACACCGCCTTCAGCAACAGGTTGGATAACATACTTGTCATCTTTTATACTTAGTTTATTTGCATTCTAGCAATAAGAAATAATTCACTAATAAAAAGTGATAAAAGTCCCAGTAATTTAGATTATTAATCATACTTATTGCACTGATATTCAAACATACTTTACATTGGATCTTCTAAGTATTTTGTGTGAAATTGTACATATTTCAGGTCATTTCCAACGTAAATCTTTTTCTGATAAGTCATCTTTAAGCAAACAGATATTCTTCATGTAGCACTGAACTAAATTCAGTTAAGAACCAAATGTAGTTAAGATCCAAATTTCATGAGAGAATTGTCTGTGGTTCCTCTCTCTTTCTTCTTCCTCATACTCAGTAAAACTGATTGATATCATCAACACTATTGTCTTTGGTTTTGTATATTCTCTTCTCAACTGCCACACCACCACTCTCCTTGTTTTCCTCTACCTTTCTGGTCACCCTCAGGCTCTTTCGAAGGCTTATCTTCCTTTATTTAGCCATTAACTTCCTCCAAGCCCAGGACTTAATTTCTGCAAAAACAGTCTTATTCATGATTTCATGCCCATGATTTCACAGACATTTTGTGCATCTGGGACTTTCACATCCAAGGTCATATCCAAGACCTTGCACATATATCTGATTGCCTTTTGGCATCTCTGTTCAGATATCTTAAAGGCATTTAAAACCCATTGTGGTCCTTCTTTCCATACTTGACCTTCTGCCTATAAATGTTCTTTGTTTCAGTGTTGGGCCCCTCTTATCTTCTCCTCATATTGTACTCAGAATGATATTTTTGAAATTTGGGACTCTTGAAACCTTCCTCTTTAAAACCTTTCAGCATTGACTTGTTGCTGGGCAAGGCAACGATTCTGATCTTTTTCCTACGAGCAACAAGACAATGCTGACCTCATCTCCCACTCTTGTGTCTGTGCTGTGTACTCTCTGGCCACGCTTCTCTTCCATCAGGTGCTCAGGCATGCCATGCTCGCTTCGTTCACATGCTTGCTGCATTTTCTGGGCCTGGTGTACTCTATTCGTCCTTTAGTTTTAAGCTAAAGTATCACCTACTCCTAGAAATCTTCTGATTCATGCTCCCCAAGTCTAGGTCAAGTTTTTATTTTATGGTCTCATAGGACATTATTCTCCTGTTCTTTTTTTTTTTTTTATGCCATGTCATATCAGTTTGTTTTTATTTTCATTAGTATGATAATTTAATCAGTATCAGATTGTTAGTTCCATAAAAACTGTTCTGGTTTAAAGCTGTATCCCAGGAGTCCAGGCTAGTTGTCAGCACATAATAGGGGCTCAATAAATATTTGCTAAAAAAAGAATCAAACTGTTAAAAATTAAGCTTATCTTTCTTGAAAAATTTCAGTGTAGATTAGATACGTATGATGAATGCCTCCCAAGCCTTCAGTAAATTTTGTCATGAACAGTTTCCACGGCAGCACAGGGCCATTATTTAGGTGGTTATAAAAATATGAATTTGGTTGTTACTAAGTAGGGTAGTCTCATTTAAAATACAAAAGATAAAGTTGTGAAAGTGGGCAGTTGTAATGGGATTCACCAGTGTTGCTTCTATTCTTCCACTTATCAGGAAGATTCAGCCTTCTAGAACAAAAGCTCTTAACACGTATTAAGAGTCACCAGGAGAGCTCTTGAGAAATACACATGTCTGTACTTTATCTAAGCCAGGTAAAAGCCAGGCTCAGTGGTTCACACTTGTAATCCGAACACTTTTGGAGGCTGAGGTGGGAGGATTGCTTGACCCCAGGAGTTCAAGACCAGCCTGGGCAACGTGGCAGGACTGCATCTCTGCAAAACATACAAAAATTAGCCAGGCATGATGATGCACACCTGTAGTCCCAGCTACTCAGGAGGCTGAGGTGGGAGCATCAGTTAAGCCCAGGAGGTCAAGGCTCCAGTGAGCCATAATCACAACAATGCACTGCAGCCTGAGCAACAGAACAAGACACTGTCTCAAAAAAAAAAAAAAAGAAAGAAAAGAAAAGAAAAAAGACTTCTATGTGGTATAATTAGTTTACTTCTTTGTAGGAATGTAAGAATAACTTTTGTGGGAAGAACTGGTGTTTTGGAAAAATGACGCAAAGCACACCTCTGTTCTTGAACCAGTGTTCTAAGACCTGGGGAAGTAAAGTGGGGTAGGAAGGACAGGAGACGTTTCCAAGATGCCCAGGTTGCTAAGTCCATGACTGTATACATTTCACATTTTATATATGGAATAGCTTTTTGGGCCCTTACTTTGACCATGTTGCATGTATTATACGCACAATTCTAACTAGACTGGTAGAAGGGACAGTTAAACACACTGTCAGTGAGAGCTCTGATGAAGATAAAGTATTTGTGCTCAAATAGATGATAGTAGGCACCAGAACTCAAATCACTGTAGTTTATGGATCACTTAGCAAAGGAAAAAGAGCCCAGCATGCTTTAAAAGCTTATAACCCAATTGTAACAGTAAGAATTGTTTATGATAATGTTCTGGAATTGTGAAGAAACTACCAAATTTAGTATTTTCTTAGCTTTTGTTTAAAACAGAAAATTGAGAAACTTTAGAAAGATTTCTATTCAACTTTGGATGTTAAAAAACAGGTAAACATCTGTCATATGGAAAATTCTCATGTATGGAACACCACATTACCTAAAGATGCTAGATAAATCCTAATAACAATTATTTATTATTGATTATTTCCATTTTTGCCACACATTTTCTATTTCAAATTTAGTTAAGTCTTACGTCTTAGGGGAGAGAGAATTGGTTTATCTAATGATGGATAGTCACAGTAGTATAGGTTTTTGGAAAACATCTTTAGCAATCCTTGTTCACATTTCAAAAAAAGATTCATTCAAAAAGAACATCTTCGTGCCTTTTTTTTTTTTAATTTTGAAAGTGTTCTAAGAGAAGTTTGAATCTTTAGTCAAGGCAGACTATCTTGTCCTTTTGTTTTACAGGAAGTATTGACTGCTTTAATGAAAACATTCTTGGGATGAAAAGGTCTGAAGTCAGTTTTTGCCCCTGCTACTGACTTAGCTCACTGGGTCTTTGGCGCTGCCTCAATTATTTAGCTTCTTTGACTTTCAGTTTTGTTGTTTTTTTTAACCTATTAGTGCAAAGGAATTGAATCAAATAATTTTTAAATTACCTTAACTTGTAATAGTATTTGAATTTGAAAAATTCATACAGTACCAAACTATAAAACAATAAGTGCTACATTAAAATTGAGCTTATTTTTACTTACCTGGATATTTATCTGGCATGTCTGTAATGCTCAGTCTTTTGTGGCAGGAGGTCAGGATTATTCATTTTTTTTCACATTTAATTTTCATTACATTGGGTGGATCAAAGAGTCATGCACCAGACTACTGATGATTATGTTATTCTTTGGCTTTCAAACAGAATTGGGATCCAGGTTGTAACTGTCTCTAAATTCAAAATCTGGAGCAGAGTCAGAAGAGGTTGACCACTGCTGCTGGGGCCTGGGAGTCTCTGGAAAAAGGAAACAGGGAGCTGACTATGGAAACTTTATGTTCCAAGACTCCACTGGGGTACTTGAGGATCTTCCCTGTGGCTCAGAGGAGCCCCTCAAAGCAAACAGGGATGGCACAGGCCTGGAGGTAGAACTCGGGAGTTGGAAGGACAACCACATCTGTCCAGAGAGAACCTGAAAAGATGTTATCTTTCCATTTGTATCCCAGGATCCTGTGTAGGCCCTCTCTATATGTAAAGGGCCAGAGTTGGCTTCTTGGCCTCAAAGTAGTCCAGTAAAAGTCTACAAACTTATCACCATCTGGAGACATTCTTGCGAGCTCTTCTTACCCCTGTGCTTTGGACACTGGGTAGTTGCTTAGACTGTTACTCCTGATTATTCTTCCTCAACTCTTCAAATTCAAGAAATTACCATTCTTTTAGGAAACTCTGGCTTTCCCAGTCACTCCTTGATTTAATTAACCAGGCTGATGGTTTTTCTGGTTTCTTGGTTTGTTTTTCCTTCTTTGTGTGCTGAGGATTTCTAGTAATTTTAGCCTGAAATCTCTCTCTCTGTTTTTAATCCTGAGTTTTCTCCTGAGATTCTTTTCACTGTAGCTGTAGGGCCTAATTCTGGATTGGCAGAGAACTTGCTCTAAGAGCATCTAGGAGAGACAGAGTTGCCTTAGTGTTGAAATGTATTTGTTCCTCTCTGCTTCTGGTGGTCTCTTGCTGAATTTTTTCTTACATGCGACATCTTAAGAAAAGTGTAAAGAAAATGTTAGTATTTGTGAATGTAATTTTTAAATTTGACATATAAGTTTTACCAAAAACATTCTCATGATACTAGTGTGATAAGAAATTTCATACTTTCAAAAGTTTTTGTATAATCAGTTGATTTACCAAATTTTTAATTACTAAGGATCTTTATTTTCCTCATTATACTTTATTTTCTAGATTTCCTACTATGAGCATGCTTTAGAATAAAAGTAAGACACTGTTGAGTTGAATTCTATACTGTTAAACTTTGCATATCATTGTTTTGAAATGGCTAATTTTTTTTAAATACAGCTTAATGATGCTGAAAATAAATATAAGATTTTGGAAAAAGAGTTCCAGCAGTTCAAGGACCAGCAAAGCAACAAACCAGAAATCCATCTACAGTCTGAAATAAATCTTCTCAACTTGGAAAAGGTACACATGTTAATATTGGGCAGTTTAACTAGTCCCAGTGATCAATTTATAAAATCGATAAGTAATGTGTATACGATGTAATAATGTTTTGCTGTAGTGTTCTTAGGTCAAATAAGAATGCATCAGAGAATTTAAGGCACATGACATTATTAGTACTTGAATTTCTTGGCTTAGGTCAGTTGTAGCTTATACAAATTAGAGTCCTTGGTTGCAAACATCAGAATTGACTAACTCTAGTAAGGAAAGAATTTGCAAAACTTTCAAGAGGCCGAAGAACTAGTTTCAGAATATGGGCAGAATAGGGGAAGCAAGGCATAGCCAAGATCCTGCCGGAAAACAGTCTACTTCAGATGCTTCTGTTGGTGCTGTCACTGCCGTGTCACTGGATTTCCTACCATCTGATTCTAGTGTCACGCTGTTGAACTTCGTTTTGTGGTAGCCATTGTGAACATTCTCTCCGTGTATCACCCCTGTAGACTCAGTGTCCTAGACAGGAATATTCATTTGAACCACAGACTTGCACTCTAGCTCTCAGCTAGGAAGAAGGGATAGTTGTTCTATTTTGTTTTCTGTGGTTGGAAGCCATGTTCCACCTGTCATTTAAATTGAGATTCTCCACAAACAGAATGGTCAGGTGCTAGGCATTAAAAATGTGTAATGTGCAATAGACACTCTAAGTTTGACAATATGTGTTCTTACATTTTTAGGCATGATTAAAAAAAAACACCATTCAGAGGAAAATAACACAAATAACACATAGGAAAATTACCTTTAAAATTTAAGGATTTAATTGTGCCAGCCATTCCCTGTCTTTTCCTACCCAGCTTTGTACTGAAGGCTTCCTTGCCCTTATAGACTTGTCACCAGGGGGCACTAGAGGAAGACTGGTGGGTGGGAGTTGGATCTATGCTGAGATAGTTTTTTCCATCTCTTTCTCTATTTCATTTTCTCTGGCAGTAGTTGAATGTTTTTATGGTTCCATGTTATCCCATCAGAGATCCCTGCTCTCCAGCTTCCTTCGGGCCATCCTTACTGTGGTTCTAGTTCACTGGACAACAGGGCTTGGGCGAGCATTTCCTTTGTGCATTGATATGGTTTGGCTCTGTGTTCCCCCACCCCAAATCTCATCTTTTAGCTCCCATAATTCCCACATGTCATGGGAGGGACCTGGTGGGAGATAGTTGAATCATGGGGGTGGATCTTTCCTGTGCTGTTCTCCTGATAGTGAATAAGTCTCATGACATCTGATGGCTTTAAAAAATGGGAGTTTGTCTGCACCGGCTCTCTCTTTGCCTGCCGCCATTCATGTAAGATGCTCGCTCCTCCTTGCCGTCTGCCATGATTGTGAGGCTTCCCCAGCCATGTGGAACTGTGAGATCTCCTTTAAACCTCTTTCCTTTGTAAATTTCCCAGTCTTGGGTTTATCTTTATCAGCAGTGTGAAAAGACTAATACAGGCATAATGTTGACACTCAAAAAGTTTCAAATGTTGGAGCATTTTGGATTTTCAGACTAGAGATGCTGAACCTGTAGTATTAGTTTACAAAATAAAATAGGGCTGATAAAAGAATGCTGGAAATAAGGGTAATTTTTGGCCATTGGGGGAAGGTCTTAGATGATAAGTTAAAGAATTCAAATTTTATCTGGTAAGAAAAGTCAGAGATTACTCCCAAGTTTGTAAGATTGGCATAATGGATGTTAATAGAAATGAGTTTTGATGAAGACCATGGTAGACTAGTAATCAGAAAGTAGCACTAGGGGGTGAGTCAGTGACTCATACCTGTAATCTCAGCACTTTGGGAGGCCAAGGTGGGCAGACTGCTTGAGCTCAGGAGTTCAAGACCAGCCTGGGCAACAGGGAGAAACCCTGTCTCTACAGAAAAGAATACATAATACACAGATACACACACATATGTATCCATGTATATATACACATACACATGTGTATATATGTACACAAATATATACATGTGTGTGTAAATATACACTAACTGGGTGTGGTGGCATGCACCTGTTGTCCCAGCTACTCAGGAGGCCAAGGTGGGTGGATCACTTGAGCCCAGAGAGGTCAAGACTGCAATGAGCCCTGATTGCACCACTGCACTTGAGCCTGAGTGGCAGAGCAAGAGCTCGACTCAAAAAAAAAAAAAAAAAAAAAAAAGTAGCACTGGGGAGTGAGAGATTTACATGTTTGTAAAAATGGACTAAAGAATAACAATCACAGCCAAGAGTACTTTGAGAGAAGTAGTGTCTGGTGTCTGCTAAAGTGTGGCAGGAAAAGAAAGACTGCGGAATAGCTTCATAAAGCCAGCTCTCAAAACCTTAAAGCTTATGTTGAGATACTATACTCTGATACTAGGCTGTGGATTCGATTCCTTTAGGAACTTCTAATACTTATTGTGTGCTTTTTATACGTATTTCAGAACTACCGTAATCCAAACTAGATTTTAAGCCTTCCAAGGCAGAAAGTGTGTTATAGTTATTTTCATATTACTGATTCTTAGGACAATACCTTGTACCTTATAGCACTGAGTAAACGTTTGTTAATCATGATTATGAACCAGCACCATCTTTGCTACTCAGAATGTTCATATATTCATTTATTCAGCAAAAATTAACAGAGGGCATGTTTTCATCTTGGCACAAAACTGTTTTGAGATGTTAAGTTGCTGCTAATCACTTCACTAGCTATTTATTGAGTACCTTCTGTGTTCCTAGGATAATTGTTAGTCTTGCATTGAACAAGACAGATTCCTCAGGGAGATCCATTATAGAGAGAGAGAGTAAACAAATAAACAAGATCATTTTTGTTTATGTCAAACATAAAAGTAATAAAAAGAGTGATGCCATATTGAATGTGGCAATGTAGCTGGCCTGATCAGGATAGATACCATTCTACATAAGGTGGTTAAGGAAAGCCTCTTTGAGCAGGTAACTAACATTTTAATTTGGGATCTGTGGGAATAGAAGGAACTAGCAATGTGAAAAGCTATGGAAGGCGTGTCCAGGGAATAGCTACAAAGGAACTGAAGTGGGACTAAGCCTGGATTGTTTGAGGTTGAGAATGAAGGCCATCCTAGAGTGTGAGGGAAGAAGAATGTACAAGATGAGATTCAAAGTATGGGCTATTAAAGCCATCAAAAGGAGTTTAGGTTTTTATTCTAATAGAGTTATAGTATAACAGTAGTTAACAGTATGAACAAGAGCCACATTAGCTTGGTTCAAATCCTAGCTCTGCCACTTACTAGCTTTTTACCATGGGCAAGTTACTTTACTTCTCTGTACTTATTTCCATATCTTTTAAATGAGGGTAGTAACAGAATTAAAAACTTAATATTTGTAAAATGCTAAGCACAGAACCTGGGACATTGTTTTACTTAAATCCTGTGTTTGTAAATAAAAGAGTTAAGTACATAATGAGATACCGATGAAGAGTTTTAAGGAGAGTAACTTGATCTTTACATTAAGGAAAAAAAAAATCATTCGTCTAGTGTGTAGAAAATATGTGTTAGAGAACAAGACATGTCTCTTCGGCTTATGACCTGTGTATTCAGCTGCCTACCCATCAGCTGCCTACCCAGCGTCTTTTCTTGAATGACTTAGAACAGTAGTTCTCAAATTTTTTGGACTCAAGGCCCCTTTATTGATAATCCCTCTATTAGAAATGGCAGGGGTGGGGGAAAACCCATGTATAACCTATATAACTTTTTTTTTTTTTTTGAGATGGAGTTTCACTCTTGTTACCCAGGCTGGAGTGCAATGGCGCGATCTCGGCTCACCGCAACCTCCGCCTCCTGGGTTCAAGCAATTCTCCTGCCTCAGTCTCCTCAGTAGCTGGGATTACAGGCACGTGCCACCATGCCCAGCTAATTTTTTGTATTTTTAGTAGAGACGGGGTTTCACCATGTTGACCGGGATGGTCTCGATCTCTTGACCTCATGATCCACCCGCCTCGGCCTCCCAAAGTGCTGGGATTACAGGCTTGAACCACCGCACCCGGCCCTATATAACATTTTTATGAAAAATAACTATTTCTTGAAACAAAAATTGAGAAGATGACATTGTTTTACTATTTTACAAATCTCTTTAGTGTCTGGATAATAGATATCTGAATTCTTATATCTGATTTTGAATTCACTCTGTTGTAATGTTACACATCATGTAGCCTCTGCAAAACTCCAGTGTACATTCATACAAGAATGAAAGTGGAAAAGAAAAATCATCTTTTGGTATTATTATGAAAATAGTGTCCATCTCCCGGACTGTTGGAGGTCAGTCTTTAGATATCCCAGAATGCCTAAAACTAAACTCAGTCATCTCCCTGAAATATATTTTTCATCTAATGTTTCTGAACTCAGTAAATGTTTCTGTAGACTGTTAACTGCCAAGCTATCTTAGGGTTCTCTTATCCCCACATTGATTTAATTGCAGAGTCTTATTCTTTTTCTTACATATTTAGACAGTCTCTTCATTTATTCAGTTTTGGCTGTCTCTTCATTTTTCCTACCAGCAAACTTGAATCCAGCTGGACATTTTCTGCTTCTCTTTTGATAAAACCAAGTATTAAAGTATTTCTGTGTTTATAAGTATGAATTCTGTAGTACCTAATAGAAATATTTGAAACACACATTGGATAATGTCACATCAATTTTCACAAGATCTATTACGTGGGTGTCTAAGAGTACTTTCATTTTATCTTGGGGAAATTTAAAGACCAGAAATCAAAATTGTAACAAAGGTGTTATCTTATTTATCTCTGAATATAGACTGGTTGACTAGGTAATATCCACAGTAAATATAAACTTTAAATGATTTTTAAAAATTCCTTCCAACTATGCTTTTACCAAAAGGATAAAAATCATTAAATATATTAAAGGTATAAGCAGTACCGTGAGCTTGCATTGAGAGAGAAAAGTATATAATTTGCCTCTATTTTAGACTTAATACATTTCTTTCAGTGCCTAGTGAAACAAGGCTTTTCAGCTCTTCTGAAAATTCTCTGTAAATCTTTTTGGAGCCAGAAGAGGGCAGAATCTTATTTCTTAAAATAGTGACAAAGAGATAAGCACAAAAAGAAAGATACAAGTTAAAAACTATCTGATTTAATTTGAAAGCTCTGGTTATGTCTGATTACCTATTCTTTTCAGTGTAATATGCATATTCCCATTTTTTTTTTTACTGAAATGATCTAAAAATAAGTTAACATAAATATATAGTTTTAGCAAATGTAATTCTTGTTTCTTTTTACAGGTTGAGTATCCTTTCTCCAAAATGCTTGGGACCATAAGTGTTTACAATTTTAGATTTTTTGAATTTTGGGATGCTTGCAGTGTATTTACCTGTTTAGCATCCCTGATCTGAAAATCTGAAGTTTAAGATGCATTACTTATGTGTCATGTCAATGCTTAAAAAGTATTGGATTTTGGATTTTTAGGTTAGGGTACTCAACCTGTATTGTGTAAGAAGTGAATACTAGTTTATGGTTTTCTTTTAGTTAGGAGATCTACACACACACACACACACACACATATAAATAATTGAGATGTAAAAAATGAAATAATTTTGATGTTGAAACTATTTCCTTCTGTTTGTAAAAAAAATTTTAAAAAAATGAAATATGGAAGGCATGTAATTTAGTAGGGCCTACAGGGGTTGAAAAGACTGAAGATATATTGAAACAATGTAGATATTTTTAATCAAGCTGAAATTTATGTATACAAGAATATTTGGTGAGTATCTACTATATGCCACTCCTGACTTGGGGCATATGGGAAAGATAAGAGAAAAATCAAAGACGGGAAGAGAAAAAGTACATTATCCTTTTGAGGGTTCACTTAGAGTTTGTAAAGTAATTGGGAGATGACTCAAGGTCATTCCTAAATGACCTTGAGTAATCAAACACCAAAGAATGTGATAGACACCTTTTGGTGTTCGGAATCTAGTAGTTTTAAGAAAGCTTCATATAGAGGTAGAATCTGAGCTGAGCCTTAAGATTTAGGTAAGCAGAGGAAAAAAATTATTGGCAGCCTCAAGTCAGGAAGTGACTTGGGCAAAGAGTGGGGACGCCTCAGGGGACATAAACCTGGTTGGAGTAAGGTTTCCTGTTGCGGAAAGCAGATTGAGCAGGTAGGACAGATACTGTATTTTGGAATGCCTTCAATCCTAAGCGGAGTAGTTTAGGTTTAATACTGTAGATAAATAGTAGCTATGGTAGATTTATTGAATAGTGGTTTTTATAGGATTAGTAGATAGAGTAGATTTGAGGCTGGGGAGGCTGGAGAGACAAGAGAACCTCTTACAGTCAAGCTGAGTTGAGAAGAACCTAGGCTAAGGAAGTAGCAGTAGGAATAGAAAGGAATAGAATTTGAAAATACTCCAGGAGAGGTATCTAGAGTTCCTTGTGACAGAACAGACCTGGGAATAGCAGATTAAGAGATAATGCCATACTTCTAGTAGAGAAATCAAATTGTAGGTATATTAAGGGTAGAAATAGGGAGATTAGAAACGAGTGAATTTTAGTCTGTTTTTAATTTTACTAGCCTCTGAATGGACTGTAGGTCCTGAGCTGAGTTTTTCTTTCAGGAGTATATAACTTGGCTTGTGGTTTATTACCTCAATCATGACCAAGAAAACCTAAAGAAAAATATAAGTACAGAGGCTTCCAGAAGTTTAAATTGATTTCTGGAAGGGCTCTGAAGAACCCAAGGTCTTTGAATGCCTTAAAATTATTTCAAAATTTTAGTTGTGTTCATTTTTTTCTGGGAATTGGGTCCATATATTTCTTTAGAATCACATAGACATCTATATCTTTTTTTTTTTTTTTTTGAGATGGAGTTTCACTCTTGTTACCCAGGCTGGAGTGCAATGGCGCGATCTCGGCTCACCGCAACCTCCGCCTCCTGGGCTCAGGCAATTCTCCTGCCTCAGCCTCCTAAGTAGCTGGGATTACAGGCACACGCCACCATGCCCAGCTAATTTTTAGTATTTTTAGTAGAGACGGGGTTTCACCATGTTGACCAGGATCCACCCGCCTCGGCCTCCCAAAGTGCTGGGATTACAGGCTTGAGCCACCACGCCCGGCCTAGACATCTATATCTTAAAAAAAAATCATTGATTTGGGGATAGGAATGAATTAGAATGAGGTTTGTGTCTCAGATTTACTCGTTACAACATTTTATTAAGAATAAAGAAATTATAACTATATGTGTTTTAAATTAGTGTGACTTTGCAAATGTGAATTATTTTAATAATTATGGCAGAACGGATATAATATATCCACACTTTTTTTTCTGATGGTGCATTGAGTATAAATAATCCCTCTACGTTCATCTTTGGCCTAACCCTCATTTTTGGGCTCATCAAGTATGCTAGACCATCTAGTATCCAAGACCCATGGACATGATTGCTTGTATAATTGAATACTATCTTTTATTGCACAGCTATAAAAATATTTTTTTCTTTTCTTTTGAGGTATGGCTTCTTGTTAAATGACCAGGTAGTATGGCATAAGTAGAAGAGATGATCTTTTATAATCTCAACAGTATTATTGAACTTAAGACACTTGAGTCTAGTTGTGAAATTGTCAACACATTTAAATCCAAGCACTAAGGATTTGTAAAGCAGAAAAGACCTTGACTCCATGTAGTCATCTATTACTGCAGAAAATGTTCTGGTCTTTTGTGAAGGGAATTTAGCCATCTGCTTTTCCTTTCATTTTATTTTCATATGAGTTTTCTGAAGTTGGAATTTTTAGATAGTGTGTTCATTTTTGTTTTTCTGTAAAACATTAGAAGCTATATGTATGGGAAAAACTAGACTTGATATAAAAATTAGTCTGGTTCAGAGTAACAGTGTTTTACTGTAATTCAAACAGATTATTACATTATCACTTAATAGTAAAACTGTCTGTTGGCTACATGAATTTGTTTGGTACTTGGTTTGAAACACTGAGTACATTCCAAAACATAGCCAAGTTGGCTTCAGTTCATGTACAACAGATTGCCTGCTGCAAGTATAAATATTCATATTTTTTAATTGAATCACTTTAGTGTTTTTCTTTATATAGTTGAGGAAAAATAGAAAATAGAATGTGTGTTATTAAGGAACATTATTTTTCTTACTCTTGGTTTATTTTAACATTCTTAAAATATTTTTGACTTTGTACTCTTTCTTAGTAAACTGCTTTCTGATAAAACATTTCACTGTTTTCGGAGTTCCAGGATTTTGCCAAAATATAGTTATAAAAGCATCTGTACTGGCTGTCTTCATAAGACAAAATTCCATATGAAGATAGGCCTCCAAAAGGAAAATTTGGCTTCTAAGAGTTAGAGTGCCAGTTAAATTGGAATGTTAACAGAACTGCTTTTTGTAAAAAATGAATATATTTCTCTCTATGATCTTTATATAATATATATGTTTAAGTACATTTATAGTAACTGTCTGGAGGTTAAGACTAATTCAGTTCTTTTTAGGATAGACTGTTAGGCAATAAAAATAAGACTATATTTTAAACAAGAAAATGTTCATGTGCCATAATATTTATAGTAAATTATATAACAGTTTTAGATGATGTCGTATGTTACACTGTATAAACTCTTTTCTTAAGCCAGACTCTTTGTATATATTATCTTTCAGTGGTTGTACACAGTGGTATAGTGTTTCACTTGATATGATTTTAATCACTGTTAGGTTGAACTTGAAAGAAAGTTGGAATCTGCAACTAAGTCTAAACTACATTACAAGCAGCAGTGGGGACGAGCTTTGAAAGAACTTGCCAGACTTAAACAGGTATGTAGTTTATAGCTTATTCTTTTTATATCTTTTTCCCTTGTTTCTTTGCAAGTTCGCATGTTTGGCAATATCTGTTATGTTCAGATGTCTGCATTTGAATATTACTATTTTTTGAGATTAGAGGCTTTTACAAAAATATGTTATAAAGGCAAAATCCTTCTTTTTTATAGTTAGAAACTGAAACAATTAGGTCTTTAAAAAATTGCCACCTATCCCCTTCCCCAGAAGAAACTGGGAATAATTTATTTTACTTTCACTTATGAAACAACCATTCTTTTCTTTCTTATGATTAAACTTTCCACTGGGAGTGCCTTTTATGAGAACATTTAAGGATAACTTGAACATTTTCTCAAATTTAAGAATATATTTTAAATGTTATTCTTAAGAAGATAGAGTAATTCAGTTAAGAAAAGGAATGACAGGAATTTTTGCATGATTTTAAAAGTTTAAAAACACTGATAGAAGTTTTCTGAATTCTTATTTTTTCCTTTCCTGCTACCAATCAACAAACGCTGTTAGCATCAGAAGAAATTAATCTTAATTTTGGTCCTATTTGATCTTAATTGAAGAAATTATGAGTAAGATTTTTATTTTGAATCTAACTCTTTAAAGAACCCTTTAAAGAAAAGTGAACTTAGAATAAACTAACCATTATTATATCTTTAAAATATTTAGGTCAGATTTCTTTTGAATGAAATTTAGCACATAGGGTCTTTCAGGTTTGTATTTTTCTTATTATGTCTCCATAACCATCAAATACTGTTAAACACTGTTATGGTATTGTATTAAATGCTTACCACTTTCATAGAGTTCTACTAGTCTGTATGAGAATTAAAAACTAATAGATAGTTTGCCCTAACATACATGATAGAGGAGTTGGGATCGTAAGCATTACAAATGAAGACAGGTAGATATATATTAATATAAAATAATGTACCATGTGACTATATTATATAAATGCTGACAAGACTAAGGATAGACAATATGTGTAGTACTAAGAATCTCCTGTATTGAAAGCACTGTCTTACACGTACAGTAAGTATAAAATAATGCTATACCAGATGTAAATATATGCAAGACATAGGCCTTTCCATCACAGAGCTTGCAATTTAGTAATAAGGAAGAAACAACTATAAATATCAAATTTACTACCTAATAGTAAGAGCCTTGACAAAGACCATATAGAGTACTCAGGAGCAGAAAGTACTTCTATTTAGTAGGATTTGGAAAGGTGTCATAGGAGAGGAGCTATTTGAGATAGACCTCTGGAGATAGATACTTAAGATTTTAGTAGAGGAATTGGTTGTGATTTAGGAAAGTAGTGGGGGAAGTGTAAATACAATGAATAGAATGATCACAGCAAGGAGGCCATGAAGTAGGAGAGGATAGGCTGTTCTTATAAAACAGAGGAGGGCCCATTTTCTAAGTCATTTCTGGCAATAAGGGCTGGAACTTAAGTAGTAACAGTAGGAATGCAACAAGAAGAGTCTTGTCAAAGATGATGCCAAGGGCTCCAGCTTCAGTGTGGTCCAGCTTTGGAAGTATAGTTACTGAGAAGCTGTTTGGAGGGTGGGAAGGAGATAGGATTTGCAAATTGGATGTTTTAATTTTTACAGAATGAAATCCGGCTACCAGCTAGAAATATGGATATGTTGTTGGGAGAATATATATAAAGGAGTCCTTTGCAGAGGTAGTTTTTAAAGTTGTGCCAGCTAGAACTTGGAATTCTTATGTTTAAGATAGAGAAAAGAAAGCTAATGAGGGCAATAACAAGTAGAGAAAGTGGAGATCATTAGAATGATGCAGGTAGAGCAGTTAGTATGTATTGAAGGCTTACTTTGTGCCAGGGTAGCACTAAGCCCTTCAGAATTTATCATTTAATCCTGACAAAGATTGCTGTATAGCAGGTAATATTATTCCCATTTTATTTGGTTGGTGCAAAAGTAAAATGGTAAAGGTGCAAAAGTGAAAGCAGCAAAAACCACAGTTACTTTTGCACCAACCTAATAGATGAAGAAACAGACTAAAAGAAGTTAAGTTGCATGTGATCACATAGGTACTAAGTGGTAGACCTAGCATTGAAAGCTTTTGACGAATACAGCTTCAGGCTCTTTTCCTTTCGTGATACTATGGTCTCAGTCCATTGAAGTCAAGGAATGAAAGAATTTCGAGGAGAAGAAAATTAGCCACTCTGACAAGATTATTGAGGCAGGGGTCATCGTGAGTTGGTATAGCCTAAGAAGGAAAATGGCATCATTGACCACAAGAGAGACCAGGTCTGGTAATGAGAATTAAAGTGATTTTGAGAGAGAAGCAGCTAATACATAGTCATGATGCCAAGATAGTTAAGTTGCACATAGTATAATAGGAGTCCCTGTGGAATTGGGGCCAAGGAAATATGATGAGAATAGCTGTTACAAGTAACAAGACATAAACTCCATCAGAAGCAGCATAAATAGTAGTTAAGAACATGGCTTTGGAGTTAAGAGAGCTAGGTTAAATTTTGGTTCTACCTCTGACTTTGGGAATTTACTTTCTCTGGTTAGTCTCTTCATTTGAACAATGAGAAATTTTCTCACACAGGTTATTCTGAGAATTAAATGAGTGGTTTTTAAGTGTTTACTTAATACAGTGTTTGATACATAGTATATGCTCAGTAAATGGTGAGTAATTTGTTAAAAAGAGATTAGCCATAGAGCTGTTCTGTGGTGGTGTTGCATTCAGTCAGTGGGGACCTACTTGGACAGTAGCTTTACTAGAGGGCTTTGTGACTAAAAATTCAATTCTTGAGTGTGCATAATTGGGGATGTTTTCATGAGTGATAGTTATAATAGACATTCTGTAGAAAATTTAGAGAAGAAAAAAAATGTAAGGGCTAAATGTGCAGATGTGCAAGAGTGTCAGTAGGTAAACTTTCCAAGTTTGAGTATGAAGGAATGTGAGTATATTGAGATGAAGAAACACCTGTAGTTAGTTCATCTGCTCATTCTTTCCTTCATTCAGCAAGTGCTTATTGAGAGCCTGCTATGCGCTTTGTACAATGGGATGCTATGTGTATAGCAGTTGCTCCCATGTGGAACTTAAAGTTCACCTAGGAGGACTGAGAGTATAGCAAGGTGGTAAGAAATGTATATGAAGTCAGCAAGTATTAGAAAAACCAGGGGACAGCTGGGGGCTATCACCACATTTGTTACTCAAAGCTAAGGAAGAAATATTTCAAAGAGAAAATACTTCAAATAACTCCTCTAGGTGAGAAATCATTTCAGGTTTTTAAATGGAGAGTAGATGAGGAAGAAGTGGCAGATAGTGCTTCCATTGAAGAAGCTGAGCAGTGAATAGTAGCAACGGTAATTCATCAATTACGCATTACCCAAATCAGCTGAAAAGGTGGAAAAATGTTACCTATTGGTTAGGGCATTTTCTATAGAGAACTGAATCTCATTATAATTGACATGTTTTCTATTGAGAAGTATCTGTGCAAGAACTTTTTACCTTGTCATGTTCATATATGTCTGTTATAGATTACATTCTTTAAGTTTTTTACCATTTGAGTTAGTTTCAAAAAAATATAAACAAACAACGTTCTGAATAGAATCCCCCAAATTCCTGGGTTTTGATTAGTTTTACACTGGGATATTGAAGTAGTCTACTTTAAAAGAAGATTCAGTGTGAAAGGCTCCAATGCAAGAATCTCTCCTTTCTAACGCACACATCCTCATACACTTTTGTTATCTTCTGGATCTTTCCATTTAATCCATTTTCTATTTTACCTTCTTCTTGTATATTTCCTGCCCTCTTGCCCCAAAAACATGGCAAAGTAATTTTATCTATTTGATTCTAATAAGGAGGGTATCACAAACATTCAGATACCTTCTTTGACTTGAGTTACTGTAAGTGTAAAGAAAAGGAAAACAAGTTTTAAATTGGTGGTTCAACTCTGAAACTTAAAATTCATGAAAGAAAACTTTGAGTGCAGAGATGTTCATTGCTTTTTCATTCCAAACCAATTTTAATCCTTATCCTACAAACTTTCTGCTTTAGGGACAACACTGTAACCAACTTTTGAGGTCACTAGGAATCATTGATGTTCTGCAGACTAACCTGAGATGCAACACTTTAAGAAGAAAAGTAATAGACCTTGGTATTACCATAGTGAATTGGGCTCTGCCACTAACTGTTTTAGTAAGATTAAAATTAATAACTTCATCTAATTGGCACATTTCATATGTGTGAAAATTCAAAATTTTTTCCTTCAACTTTTTATTAAAAACACATTTATTGTGCTTGAATATAATTTTGGAATCGTCTATCTAGTTTTGTTCAGAAGATTGTTTGTGTAACTTCTTGTTTAAATTGGATTAGTACCATGTTAATTTTACATTGCCTCTGGTGAATAGCCACGGGGCTGTAATCTCTGCCAGTAATTTGTCACATCAAAACCCTCTGGAGGGCCATACAAAACATTTGTGTAGTACGGATTAGACGGTGAAAGCCGTATCTTAGTTTGTTAATAAATGTTAATGACAAAACCCAGCTGGTAAAGCTTGGAAATAAGACCTAATGCTTGATGCCCATTGCCAGAAGAATGTTTAAACAGAGATTTCCATTACTCAGAGGTGACCTAGGATAGTCAATTTGTGAATTAAAAAATGTAACCTAATTATTTAGAAAAAACTTTTTCTTTTGATTCACAACCACGAAAGTCTTTTCCCAGTGGTAAGCTTTTTTGTTCTTTGGTAACTGGGAAGGCAACCATTGTAAAATATAAATGAGCATAACAAAATGAGTCCTGATTTAGAAGACAAGGAAGTGATACTCAAGTTTGCTATCATGGGACAAAGTTAAAAGTTCTACTTATTAGACTTGTAAGAGGTAATTTTGTTTCCTTTTTTTTTTTCCTTCGATATACTATAGAAATATTTTAAAACCAAAACAAATACTTGAACGGCTTTGGTTTACAAATACTCAAGTGAAGTTGTCTGCCTTCCTACTTGTGC